ACGTGCACACAGGAGCATGTCGTAGATACGCTGCAGGTTTTCCATCACATATGCAGAAATGAGCAACATCAAATGTTTGCTTAAAGACCGTGTATGTGTGTGCTGTCTTTTTAGTGGGGCCGTGTGCTCTGGAGTACACAAAGCTGAAGACTTCGGATCATTTCTGGACAGACCCCTCAGCCAATGAGCTGGTTCAGCGCCATCGTATTCACGGGGCCCACCGGGGCCAGGACGTCTTAGCCGGCCACCGGCCTGCTCTGGGGGTCAGTACGGGGCATCCTCTGGAGGTGTTGTTCTGTGGAGGTGTTGTTCTAAGGATAGATCATCGGCATGTGTAGGATTGGTTTTCTCGTAGGAGTCGTTCGTTGTATAAACTGGGTTTTCGTTTCTTTTCTAGATCCGCAAAAGGCAGTCGAGCGGCAGCATGTCAGAGGACAGGTTTGCTGCATCAGCGAGGGAGTATGTGGAGTCTCTTCACCAAAACTCCAGAACGCACCTGCTCTATGGCAAAAATAATGTCCTTGTGCAACCGGTACATCTCACTGACACACAGTAACTTTGCTGTTTTTGTCCCATCATCCTCTGGAGTGGTTTCAGTTCCTCCACAGTCTCACAGCCCAGACATATAGTGACAATACTTTGGTAAAGGCTCATATCTCAGTCCAGTCTGATATTGGATCCTACAGTTTTTCAAACAAGCCGCTGAGAGTGTGTCTTCACTTTGACCAAACTTTAATCCATCAAAAAAACAACTTGATTTGTTATGTTTTCTTTTGATTTATCCAAGCAGAAAGTTTGGATATATTCCTTTCTATTACTAGGACACGTGTTCACTTAGGGCAGCGGTCTCAAACTCGCGGCCACGTCATCCAACATTGATGCCCGCAGTGATTGGCCGGCTGTGTGAGCGAGAAAGTCTGCTGCGTTATGGACTTTTTCTCTGCAGCACTGATTTTGTGTTGCACAGCTAATTCTGTCACATAGCAGCAACACAAGAAGACACTATGTCAAATATTGCAACATTATCAGCAAAATAATATCTGCTAACACAGCACGACAGCTAGACTTTACGCTCCACGCTCACATGGAGCCTTGAAAACAAGAAAGAACCACATATCAGCAGCTTAATTAGACTAAAGTGCTGATGGAACAGGTGAAAAGAGATAAAGAAATAAATATGGCACAGAATCAAGTTTTAAAGTCAGTGTGTTCTGCTCTAAAATAAAATCAGATGATTCAGCTCATGTTGGCTGAGTGAAGAAAAAAGTAGTGACGGAAGAAATCAAAAAGAAACAGCAGCTCTGGATGATCCACGGGTCTTTCCAGTCGTGTGACAGCGAGCTGTCTGTATCAGATGCACTTCATTACATTAGTATGCACCTGACGGATATCAGCAAGAGGAGGGAAAACGCAAATGTAAGGATGTAACACTTTAATGTCCCACGAGAAATCAATCGTAACAGTTGAAGAACGATAATGAAAAACACTCTTTGATTCTTTGTAAATCACAGTTACAATGTTTCAAGACTTGCTGAGCAGTTTCAGTCCCCCATACTGCTTTTTATTTATTACACAAAGCTGAGTTTCATACATTAAATCGTACAAACACAGACAGTCTTAGAGCAGAACAAAATGAACTATAGCTATAGTGTGTGAGAGATATAATGTGACAGCTTAGAGCTTAGCTTTCTGAAAAAATCTTGGCATAAACTTTGATAAAGGTTGAAACTTTGTGTAGCTGTCAAAGGTTGCAGGGCCGTGTAGGCCCCGAAGCTGCTGCTTTTTTAGAATAGCAGCAGTAATCCTTGGAAGCCTACACACTGTACATGCAGCGCCCACTCAGCTTGTCATGCAGGCAGAAAGGACCCCGGGATAAACAAAAGCAAACCTTTATTTAGGCAAAGTCCAGAAAGTCAGTATCCATAAAAAGAAACGGCAAACTAATCCTTCAACTGACAGCGAGCGCGCCGGGAAGCCACAGGACAGAGGGAGGAATAAGTCGTACACACACATGCAATCGAGGGAGGTAAAGCTGAATCCAAGATAAATGGGACAAAAAACGAGAAGACCGGGGATAGAGGGGAGGAAGAAACTACATTTCAAATGAAAACCATAAAGAAACCAAACAGGAAACTGCTGTTATAAGAAAAACTCAAATCACAAGAATCCCAAAGAAGACTCAAAACTCATGTTGAAACCCCGAGGGTCTATCACCGAGCTGCTAAAAGCACAAGTAGTAAATTAGAACTGTGCTGCACAGTAGTGTGTGTGAGATCTTTGCGTTGCCACGCAGCTCCAGCACGTTTGGCCCTGAGCATGTATAATGAGCACACGTATGCCTCCCAAGATGCCTTTCTCCGAGCCCCGCTAACAGACATGCAGATAAGTACAGCACTCGCTGCACTGGTGTGCAAGAGCAGCACTCTCTCATCGTGAGCTACCGATCGGCAATGACATGAAAACCACAACAAGTGAAGCAGCCTCGTTACAATGTGAGGGATGTGGATGTTACTCTGACATGTGACACCCACATGAACTCAGCCTGGTATCGTTCACATTTCTGATGATTGAAATTCTACTGAACTGCAAACAGGACTGAAAATATGTTAGCAAAGGGAACGCAGCTGAACATTAGTGCAGTTTGTTGGTCTAGGAGATACTTGAAGGCACACGAGTACTTCACAAAGATCACGAGGATAATTTCAGGCTTTAAATATAATTTTTAAACCTGGACCGTGTGACATCATCACACTTCTAACAAATTAGATTCAGAAAAGTGTGATGAGTAGATGACAATAAGAAAATAGAAAGCTAGAGAAAGTCTGTGGGAATAAATGTCAGAGTTGGGCAATAAACTGTTTCCTTAGTTTAATAAATCAGAAACATGATTCAGTGGCTGATGAGCTCATCTTACTAAAACACCAGATTATCAGGGTGTGTTAAATAAATGCTGGGATCATAGAGCACACAGAGCTCAAAGCAGTTTCTAGTGCTGTGTGAAAAAGCTACGTTACAAAGGTTTAATGCAAAAAATATCCTCATAACTGAAGAATTAAGTTTTTATGTTGTCGACATCAGTGTGTACAGCGCAGACACATTATGATTTCTCTCTGCATCCCACAAAGCGTCACAGCATCAGCAGTGCTGCGACGCTTTGTGGGGTGCAGAGAGAAATCATAATGTGTGTACAGCGCAGACACATTATGATTTCTCTCTGCACCCCACAAAGCGTTGCAGCACTGCTGATCACGTTCAGCAGTGCTGTGACCTCCACAGTAGAATAAGACAAAGTAGTGCTGAGGAAAAGCATTTCATGTCACATGTTTGAGTAAAAGCACTTTCTTCATCTTGGTGCTAACAATGTTCCATCTCCTCCTCTCCGTTTTACGTGGCAGAAGAAGGACATGGAGGTTTTACGGGGTTACTTGTCTCTCCATCAAGCGGGAGATAATCTCACGCTGAAGTGGACACCCAATCAGCTCATCAATGGCACACTGGGAGACTGCGACCTGGAGAAAAGGTAGCCCGAGCGTATGAACACATGAGCCAGCGTCTCAGAAATGCATCAGATAAAGTCTGCTTGATACAAAAACAAACGTAGTAAAGAAAGGCAGATGTGCGCACACACACATGATTTTTAATACGGTATCAGACCCTGTTGTAACAGACACACCTGGAGCAAACCTACAATATTCAGGTGTCACAGAAAGTATTTCAGGAGGTTGTGCTGGTGTTGTTATTGGCTCACAGGTGAGCGAGAGCCTCGGCTTTGGCTTTGATAAATACTTGCGGTATGCATTTACAAACACTTTGGTCGAGATCAGTTGGTAAATGATGTCTCGTGTTCTTCTTCACACAGCCGAGGGGCCGTCCTGAGCTTATACACAGAGTTCTGCTTCACATGACAGAATTGTTTTAGTAAATCAGCCCTTCTCTGGATAAATGCTGCTCTCTGTGGGAGACCTGTCCAGAGATCAGTTTCAGAGGAAACCTCATGACTGATTCGTGTCTCGCTGATCTAAATTATCTTTCTACTTTCAGGGAGAAATACTAGATAGGTAGATATAGATATATATAGTCGTGCATCATCTATCTATGTATATATCTATGTATTAACAGATTAACCTAATAATGTCTGCTCTCTTTTTTTGGACTGCATTTGCTATGATTGGGTCTATATGTGTGTTCCTGGGTTTATGCATTGTTTGTGGATCATCAGCAGATCGTTGTACTCCCGTCACTCTTGTGTTACTAATCCAACACACGTGCTTCTCTTTTAGTATCTACTGGGATTACGCACTCACTGTTCCTCTGCGCCAGATAGTATGCATCCACTGTCACCAACGCTGTGAGTATCCTGCTGCATTCAGCCCTACACACACACACACACACACACACACACACACACACACAGTCTGTCATGTCAAATTTAGATCATGTCAAGAAGAATCTGTGTTTCATGATGTCACTGATTATATCACACCTTACATGCATAAACCTTCAGTTTCTGTTTACAGTATCACAGTTTATGTCTTGTCCACTATTAAAAGACAGTATTTGATCCACTTTGCCTGTTCCTATCCCAGCTGACTGTGGGGGGACACTGGTTCTGGTCAGTCAGGATGGGATCCAGCGGCCACCCCTGCACTTCCCCCCTGGTGGTCACCTGCTGGCCTTTCTCTCCTGTCTGGAAACGGGCCTGTTACCACGGGGCCAGTTGGAGCCGCCTCTCTGGTCCCAAAAAGGAAAGGTAATAGCATGATTCAGGTTACAAATGAAGATCGTAAAACACTAAAATAAAATAAAGCACAGTGAAGTGCGGGCACTGTAGAATTAAACCAACACCAGACTGTCAGACTGTAGTTATAGGACCTACAACCTACAGAGTAAATCTAACTTTGAGACAATCTGAACACAAGACCAAAAAGTTTAAACTTTCTGCAGGTGATGAGATGATGCTGTGACCAATAAACTGTTTTTACATCGAGCACTTATATTTTGAGGCTCCTTACACTGCTGATGTCATGTATCAATACATAAAGCCCAATACAGCAGATATGTGTCGAATCGAAACCTCTAAACTGTGAAGGAATTTCAAAATTTTATATTTAACTAAAGTTCGTCACCATGAACATAAAAACTCAGCTGCCCTGCGTCAAAAAGTAGTCCCCCCTCAAACCCAATAACTGGTTCTCCACCCTTAGCAGCAACAACTGCAATCAAGTGTATGACCGAACTTTACTGTTTCACGAAGAAGAGCAGGTTTGGACTTTTATTCCTTAATAAATGAAATCACTACATGTTGTATTTACTCGGGTTGAAACGGTGGGACAAACGTGCAAGAAGCCCAGGATTTAGACTGCTCCCGATTAGATTTTTCTGTCTACTCGTGGCTCTTTTACATCAGTGATATCTATAATATGAGCACAACCCCCCTAACCCTGCAAGTCAGATGACACGTTTGTAAAACCATCCAATCAGAAGAATGGTGCCATAGTCAGTTAAAACAGCTGTTTTAGACAACAGATGAACCAAAGGTCTTAACCAAGGCGGCTCAGTGTTGGAGAATCCCACAAAGCTCATTTAAGAGCGTCCCATTAAACCTGTTTACGTTGTGTCTTTGACCTGCATCACATGCTAAACCTGTCCTACAGGGAAAAGTATTCCCTAAACTGAGGAAGAGGAGTAGTGCCGCCAGGCTTATCGACCAGGAAGCCAACGGCGAGGAGCAGTCGGCCGCCGACTACGTGTTTCGCATCGTCTACCCTGGATATCGATACGAAGCCAGTAAGTAACAGCGCAGGCTCCCACGAGGCAGACGTAGCTGCTCGTAACCAAAACGAATCTTGTTTTGTGGCGAACACTAGTCTGATTAACGGCTACATGAATGTGTTTGTAAAGCACCCTGGTTTCTTTCCCACAATACTCTTGCAGAGCCGTGCAGGGCACCGCTTTTCTAACTTTGTTCTCTGTTGTCCCACCGGTGCTAACAGTCACTATAAACTACCACCACACCACGGGCAGCCGCGCTCCATCGCTGGATGATGACGAGGAAGAGGAAGATAGGCTCCATGCTATGATCTCAATGATCTGCTCGCGGAACCTCACAGACCCTAATGTCATGAAAGGTTTTTATCACCTTAACACACCTACCCGACCCTGCTGCCCCACCCTCACCAAACCCTGCTGCCCCACCCCGAGACCTCACCTCCGCTTCTCCTGCTCTTTCTTGCCTCCCATTATGTTGTCTCAGGCCCCCTCCACCTCCCAACCCCACCCGTTCTAGCTTCGTCTGCCTGTGTATGTTCTCCCCGACTCCGAGCCCTACAGTGTCGCATGGGCTAGGGATGGTTGTGTTAGCAACTAAGCAAAACCAACGAGCAGCGCTTAGAGCATTAACATGTTTATGTGAGATGACGGTAGGATTGTCAGCAGTAAACTGCACCGTAGACGTGGACGAGGGAGTTTCTTAATGAAAATCGCCACAAATGGAAGAATCTTTTGGTTGTTTGTCCTGTGTTGATAACGAGTTCTGGTTGGTGGAAGCTGCAGACTTAAATATGATTTAAGCTAAAGGTCTTCTGCTGCCTCCATCGAGGTTCTGGTTGAGTGCACTAATCAATATTTCATATGCATCATGGTGTCCTTATCATTTCCAGCCTACAGAAAATTAGCCCCACATTAGAACCATGAACAGAGCTCTTCAGACTCGTCTAAGTAAGAGGCTTTTGTTGTTGTTTGCTCTTGTAAGAAACACTAAATTCTTCATTCATTGACTTTGTGTCCAGCTGCACCACATGAGTTAGTAGCTTCTAGGAGTTTTTAGGGCACCGGGTCAGAAAAAGAAGAAAAGTACCTTCCAAAAATGTGCACCTGTTTGCAGTTAGCCTGTTGGTTATTTGGTCAAGAGTTTGTGTAGCTGACTGACTGTAGTGACTGCCTCATGACACATCCATTATTCACTACACAACCCAATAAAAGCTAACGTCCCTCAGAGTGACAGCTCGAACTCAGCTGCTGAGCCGTCAGCAGGGTTATAAAGCACTGCTAAGTTGTAGGTATTCATCAAAATGTGAAGCAGCTAATGTTCGTAATGTAACTATGTTACAAGTGCTTTGACACGCTTCTTTGTAACCTCCGCGGAACTTTTTGTTAAAAGGTTTAAAAATGCTACATTGTTTCAGTGATTTTTGTTGTGGTCAAACCATTTTCCCCAGTAAACGTACAGACATGGCTGCCTGTTGGTAATATGGTAACACACGAAGGATTGTTCAGTTAAACAGACTTTTTTAACTTTGTGTAAGCAAAATGAGAATAAAAGAGTCATTTAAAAAATGGTTGCATTGCTATGACAACACGGTTTCTGGGGAGCACCACGGGGGCTCCGCACAGCGAGCAGCTCAGGGCTTTTTTAGGATACTTGGTAGAGTCGCATCTCAGCTTATCTCAGGTTATCTGTTCAAACCACAGCATTCACTCCTAAATAATATTAGTGAAAGTAGTTTCTGCTCTAACAGGAAGTTGGACGTTAAGAACGCGCTGCGGTCACGCGTCTGGTTAATACTGCACTCCCCCCGCCGCCGTCTGTTCCTGATTTCACTCTTTCTGTTTTCTCTCCATCTTTCCAGCGCTCAGTAACACAGATAAATCCACTTCTTACACAAACCTGTGAAAGACAGGAAACACGCTGATGAGCAGACTTGTTTTATAGTCACTGCAGATGTCTTTCAGCAGGTTTCAACACGTTCCCAGGTGTCCTCGCCTAGCCCTACGGGCTGCTTTGCATTCTGGGATGCTCCTTAGAGTTCAAAAAGGGTTTATCTGTTGAAGCATGCCCGTGACTGTCTTTATTTTTGCACTCTGTTTCTTTTGGCTCTTTCTTTTGTCACTTGCGACATGCTTGGCAGTGTTTGCATGTCTGCGCCTGTTGTTAGAGAACGACTGTGTTTCTGCATATCTGTGACGGACTTCCTCACAGTCTCCTCTGTTTGTTTTTGATTTCTCTCTCCTCTCCAGTTTCTTCTTCTCTGTCCGTGCAGTCATTCGCTGCAATGCTGTTCACTGTAATTCTTCACTAACCCCACCACCCCACCCTCCCCTCGCCCCGTCCTCCACCCCTCTCATTATGGTCCTGTGGGGTTCCGCAGTAGTTGAGACGTGGAGTCCTGGTGTGAGCGGGGTTGCGTTACTGAGCCCAAAACCAGTTGTCGATCACGTCTAGTCCCAAAGTAAATGAGGAGGGGCCGATGTCGGTCTTGCTCCGGCACAATTTCTCTTTGCTTTTTTGCTTTTTTCGGTTCTGAAACTGACTTTTTTATGGGGGGGGGGGGTTATCGAACGACCAAAGCACAGCTTCATATTCATGACAGGTCATCAGCTCCAACCTGAAGAATTAAGGTGAAGAGCATTTGTTAATGTTTTCTGATTTCTTCCCTCCCCTGTGTGTGCCCTGTTCCCGGTGTCCATTTGTTTTGGTTGTTTCGAGAGGATTTCTTTTGACGTCTCTTGTCTTGTTCTGGTTTTATGCATCCTGCACGGCCTGAGCGCGAGCCTCGTCCTCTCTACTGTCAGTTCCTCCTGTCTTCTGCTCTCCCGTTCATCCGGAGCGTCGTCCCGAGCTCCGCTGTCTCTCTTGCCTCCTCTCTGAATGAACTGAACCGGCATCCTCTCAGCCTGTTTGTCCCACGGCACTGTTCCCGCTTCCCAAAACCATCCCCTTCCACTTTTGGTTTCCTTTGTTTCTCGAGCTCTCATATTTAACACGAGTCTAAAACTCTCCATCTCCTCATTTCTTAATATTGTGATGATGTATTTATGGTTGAGCTGAGGGACTGATGTCATAATATGTAAGGCTTAGCCTTTCACAGTAGGAGAGGAGGAGAAAAGTGTCTCCGAGCACTGAAACCTCTCTGTCTTCTCGTTTTCCTTCTCTGGCTTAGACCACGGGGACATGATGGACACGCAGGGCTTCGGAGGCAGCCCGTCGTCGTGGCAACAGGCTGAAGTCGCCACTCACGAGTCCCTGTGCCAGTCCTGCTCCACCGCTGGCAGCAACTTTGACTACGCGTCTGGCTGTACCTGCATACACGACCCGTCAGATATTCACACGTATGCATTAAAGCAGAAGCTGCACACGATTCGTTTCAGCGACCTGCAGCGTTGCATTAGCTTACAGGAGCTGCGGTCGTCGGGACTCATGGTATAGATCTGAGAAAATAACAGTAATCACATCTCGTAAATGTAAGAAAACACTGAATTTAACCAAAGTTAAATATTGTTGTGTTTAAGAGCCACGTGAAACCAGTACACATCAAGAGTAAAAGAGATGTTTTATTTATTTAGTGTTGATGTGATGTCATACTGAAGATAGACACAGTGTACATGAGGTAGGACGAACGGGCCGAGAGCAGCTTCACTGTGGAAACAATCACACAGAGAAGTATCAGCGATCTGAGACGACCGTGGCTTCTTAGCTGTAATACAGGGAGAGGTTGTACTGAACGGGTTATCTGTGCACTGAGAAACCACAGGCACAGGTCGATGACACGGATCCATCTTCTGGAAACGTGACGATAACAAATAATTTCTTTTGCTTTTCCAGTATTCCTCTGAAGATGCTCTGCCAGAACATGAAGCGGCAGATCGTCTCCAGAGCCTTCTATGGATGTAAGCACACTTATTCACGCGCTTTGTTTCGAGTGTCATCTGTGGAGCCTCGTATCTGTTCCACCTGGACGGAGATGTTCAGTGTTGGTTTGATTTCAATGAAACAGTTTCATATATTCAATATGTTTGTGATGTAATGAAGAATTCATAAATACTAGATTAGGTTTTGTGTCACACATAATAAGTTGATTTATTGAGAACCTGCCGACCTGTGCGACCCTTCGAGTTACCTGAACTAATTCTTGCTTTTTGTCCTTGTGCACCATCTGCATCTCATATGTGATAAATCTGATGTGGTTACATATTCTTTTACATATTTTTCTATATATTCTTCGAGGGTTTCGTTTGTTTCAGATCATCAATGTTACATTAAACAATTCAGTCACAGTTTTAAATGATTCATTAAGCTTTCAAACACATTGCAAACACATGATTGTGCGGCACAATCAGTTCGTGGGTGTAACTCAGTTCACTTCTATTTATATAACACCAAATGAAAAACAGTCTCCTCGGCGCGATCGATTGGACAGTTTGGATAACTTTTCCCTTAATGAATGAAACGATCATTTCCAAACTGCATTGTGTATTTTCTCTGGTTATTACTGTCTAATCTTAAAACTTAGCTTGATGATATAAAACATGCACGTGTGGCAAATATGAAAAAACGATGAAATCTGTGTGTTTCAAAGACTGATTGGAGCTACACGTAGTCTCATCCTGACCTACTGTTGTGCACATGTGCCCTTCAGGGCTGGCGTACTGTCGACACCTGTCCACGGTGCGGACTCACCTGTCAGCTCTGGTCAACCACAACATCGTCCCCCCGGACAGACCCTGCGAGGCATCCGGGGGCCTCAGCAAAGAGGTGTGGAGCAAGTACCAGAAAGACTGCAAGGTGGGTGCAGCCGTTAATCCTGCAGGCCCCGCCCGTCCCCCCTCAGTCTGACACCCCCCCACCTCTCACACACAATGGCAAATTTAAAACCCAGACACCACACAAATTGCCAAGTCATCATCTTGTCAGGGATATTGATCAGCACTCAAAGACACAGTAAGTTACGGCTGTTTTGTGCTGTGCAGGGACTCTACGAGTCGTCTTTATCTGATCCACACTGTGAGAAACGCTCTGCAGAGAATCATGAGGAGCAAAGCAAATGATGATGGAGAATTAGCACAGCACATATCTGCTGTCCACAGCTGGGTTACTGCGTGGGAGGAGCTGCACTCATGCTTAACTAGGAGTTTATTTATCATGTGCATATAGTTCCTGACTCCAGCCCCTTGATTGGTTTAAAAAGTGCCGTCAGGAAGAAGAAGGTCCTAGGTTTGAATCCACCATGTGGGCGGGGCTTTCTGTGCGGAGTTTGCATGTTCTGCTCGTGTCTGCGGCGTCCTCCCACAGTCCAAACACGTGCAGTTAGTGGGGTTAACTGGTGATTCTGGAGCGCCTGTGGGTGTGAACGGAAGGAAATCGTGTCTCATCAGGCGCAGTGGGCTGTACTTCCTCATCAAGTCGGATACATAAAGCATGAAGAAGCTTTTAAAAACCTTTGTTGCTCTTATTTGCAGATTACTAACTAATGAAACTTCTTGCCTACAATATACATTTTGTTGAATCTGAGCGTTGGGCTCTGTGCAAACCCAGAACCACTGATTCCTCTGGTGATTTGCACACAGACTCGGTTTAATGCAACTCATGGGCTTTAGCATCCTTCCCAAGGATACTTAGACATGCAGACGGGTTAGTTTGGGATTCAACCGCTGACCCGGTCGACCTCCTGAGCGATGGAAATTATTCCTCCCACCGTGATCTCAGTAACACATCCAGAGTTTAAGCACGGTTTGCTTTATTTACCTCCCAGTGAACTTCAGAGGTGCAAATAACAAGTAATAGATAAGAAGCTAAAAAGCTATGAAGACAACAGGAAAGGAAACAAACAGCTGGAACAATATGATGAACAGTCAGCGCTTTTCTGAATGCACCCTGTTACACATGACAGCTGTATGCAGTGAACATAAGTGTGTTTGTGTACATCGACACGCCCGCATTGTCCTGCTGCATAACAGCTACTAGAGCATCAAACGCAGCTTCATCCTCAGCTGAAAATAGAGCCCAAACAAATGCACCGAATGTCATTAAACTGTTAACAGCTGGAAATTGATTAAATTTTTTAAATAAATGAATGAAATATTAAGCTGTTCTGAATAGAATAGAATAATCCTTTAACTGTCCCACAAGGGGAAATTTGGTACATTTGAAACATGGTCGAGAAGCTATGAAGTCTGAGACGAGGACAAAAGGCTGACTGTAACGATCCCAGCGACATCCTTTAATCACTGCAGCTGAAAGTCGTTCACTGTGTGGACAGACGTGAGGCTCTTCTGAGCAAAAGTCTTTCACTTATTGTATTTAAGTTCAAATCCGATGTTAGCTCAGCTTAAGCCAGCTGTATGCGTCTCCTGAGCCAGGAGGAGGAGAAAGCTCTGACACTGAGCAGTCAGAGCGGTCTGACGTTTGCAGACCCCGGTGTGTGACTGTGTCCATGCTCGGTGTGAGCATCCACCTTGAAAACGCAGCAGCGTGTTCCTGCACGGTGCTATAAACCAGCATTATTACCTGTTGTGTTTGTAAAGTCAGTTATTAACACAAAGTATAGCAAAGCTGAACTTTGTGAGGCTCGGTTTCATATATCATCCACCTGCTGATGGAGCATATTAATTGAAAGTGGAGGATGGTGCACTGCTCCTGCTGTCTCCACTCTCTCCTTCGCTCTAATGAAAAGTTAATGAGTTTCAGTGAAACGAAGTCTCCGTGTGATACCATCGCAGCTATTAAAGCCGCCGCCGTAATCATTCATCAGCTCCAACGAAGTCATCATTACTCATTTACACTCTATTCATATCTGTGTCGTTTATCTTCTGCTCTAATCCACGTCTGCTCCCGTACGGAGCTCCATCGCTCTTCACTCCATTATTGATGCACTTCCTGTGTGTGTGTGTGCGTGTGTGTGTGTGTGTGTGTGCAGAACTACAAGGAGCTGGAGATGCTCCGGCTGGTTTATTACGGTGGAGTGCAGCATGAAATCAGAAAGGAGGTGTGGCCTTTCCTTCTGGGACACTACAAGTTTGGCATGGGCAAAAAGGAGATGACTAAGGTACAGTGCACGCGCACACACACACACACACAGTCTTTGAATTTGCCCTGAACTTAGTAAAACTCTGTGTGAAGATCGATGCAAAGATCAGCGAGCGGTACCAGCAGGTGATGCGGGAGTGGAAGGCCTGCGAGGTGATCGTCAAGCAGCGGGAGAAGGAGATGCAGTCGGCCATCTTTGCCAAGCTCTCCTCGGGCAGCAGCATCGACAGCCACGTCCTGCGGCTCGTCCACAGAGACTCCACGCTCAGCAATGAGGTGAAGGGCTCAGAGCAATATAGCTTCCACTCAGCGAGACACTTTATTAAGTTGGGGGATGAGAGTTTATTAAACGTTATTATGAATCTGAATATCTGCTGTATGAGGGGAGCTTCATACAAGCAATATCCAAAGTCTTTGTTGGGTTGTCTGGGTGAGCTTTATATTATCCTCAGAGCTTCATTTGGTATCAGCAGCTGCAGACGCTGCAGCGTGAGCTCTGTTATTATCTGTTTTCATTTCAGCCTGTGTGGTTGTGCATTAAGCTTTGAGACGTCAAACTAAAACCTCCACAGACGGAGCAATAAAACAAGTTAGTGGCTGAATTATAGACAGTGCACGTCTCAGTGTGCCGTTATGGGTGCATGTCTGATGCAGGGGCGTTAACACCTTTCTTATATCACCACTCTGAAGACCGATGAGCGTTGTCAACAGGTTTACTGA